ATTTCTTCGGTCCGGGATTGCAGTACCTAGTGCCGCTGCAGCAGTACTACCTATGGCTGAACGGATGTCCCTCCAGCCATTTTCAAGAGAAGCTGCGCCAAGCTGCTCTTCCGTGGGTGGTGCAACTTCCAGCTGCTGCGCGTAGTCCTGGGCAACTCCGGTGCCCCGTAGTTGCTCAATGTTGGGTCGCGGCGTTCGACTTCGACGTGTGTTATGCACCGTCGAGAGTCTTGAGCGCATGCATACTGCAACTAGGTAGTGGTCCGAATCTATGTTCGCACTGCGGTACGTGCGGACGTTGATAATATCGTAGAAGAATTTCCCGTCGATTAGAACGTGATCGATTTGGTTTTCTGTGTGTTGGTCAGGTGATCTCCAGGTGGCTAAGTGGATATCCTTGCGGGGGAAAAAGGTACTTCGAACTACCATACAACGAGAGGCTGCAAAGTTCACACATCGTTGGCCGTTGTCGTTCGATACGGCATGCAGGCTATTTGGCCGATTGCCGGTCTATACATTGCCTCCCGTCGTACCTGAGCGTTAATGTAGCCGATGACGATTTTGACGTCCCGTTGCGAACAGCCGTCGTACACCTACTCCAGCTGCGCATAGAACGCTTCTTTCTCGTCGTCGGGTCTCCCTTCGTGTGGGCAGTGCACGTTGATGATACTGTAGTTGAAGAAACGGCCCTTAATCCTCAACTTGCACATCCTCGCGTTGATCGGCTGCCAACCAATCACGCGTTGGCGCATCTTACCCAGCACTACAAAGCCGGTTCCCAGCTCGTTGGTGGTGCCACAGCTCTGGTAGAAAGTAGCCGCTCGATGCCCGCTTTTCCATACCTTTTGTCCCGTCCAGGAAAGTTCCTGCAGTGCTACGACTTCGAAGTTGCGTGGTTGAAGTTCGTCATAGATTAACCTATCGTAACCCGGGAAACCGAGCGATTTGCAGTTCCATGTTCCGAGTTTCCAACCGTTGTCCTTATTTCGTCGCGTAGGTCTGTGCCGATTGTTCCGATCCGTATTTCTTTCTTCGGTATTTGCAACTTTGTTTTTTTTTCAGGGCTGCTTGTTGTGCCTGCTTGCAACACACTCAAAGTTCTTCATAAAGGGTTAAGAGGATCGACAAATTTAAAAGAACGAAATTAAGTTAAGTTCGGAAAAGTCTCAAATGCCCTACAAAAGGGTATTTTCGGAATGAAGACGACGCTAAGGTGCTGAAAATCGATGTCCGTCGCCATTTTGCAATCCAATATGGCCGACATTGGGCTCAGAAAAAGTGTCAAATACCATAAGATATGGGTATTTTCGGAACGTGGACGACGCGTAGATGCGGTAAATTGACATTCGACGCCATTTTGGAATCCAAGATGGCAGCCATCAGGTTTCATAAAAAAAAGTTTCAAATATGGGTATTTATCGAACGGGGACAACACATAGATGCTGAAAACGATATCCAACGCCAATTTGCCATGGGTATTTGATATAATTTTCCACTTTTTCTTAAACCAGGCTATCATGGATTTCAAAATGGCGTCGGATATCGATTTTCATTCTTTAGACGTCATCCCGATTCCAAAAATACCCATATTGAGTGAATTTTACAGTATTTTCCACTTTTCTGAAATAGAGACCACCATCTTGGATTTAAAAAAATGCCGTCGCATATCTATTTCATATCTCTAGACGTCACCCCGATTTCATAGAAATGGATTGGCATTAGTGTTTCCCCTCTTTTTCGCGGAAATCGGAAGCTGCCATCATGGGTTTAAAAATGTCATCAATTTCCGGCCTCTAGACGTCACCCCGATTCCCGAAATACCCATATTGATGAGTAAACAAACCACCCGACAGTGATAAATTTGACATCCACGTGCACAGATCTTGTATGCGCTTTAATTAACCGAGTGAACAATCAACAAAAGTCAGAAAAACTGTGCGAATTTGGATTGAACAGCTTCGCTTCAAAGCGAAAGTAAGTTCAATTGACAATGATAGACGAAATGAACACGATTCTAGCCGAAGCAAACAGGACAAAAACTGATCGAAAATGGTTCTGTTGATGTCGAAGGGGATCTGCTCAAAGAGAAGACAGAATGACTTTCAATTGAAAGGGATGGTTGGCAGCTTCGTCGTCGATTTCCGATTGAAAGTGACTTTGTGACTTTGGCCTTGGTTAGAAGGAAGAGAATGTGAAATACTACACGAGAGCCGCACAGAGAGACGATTAAAGTGCTTTTTGATGTTTAGTCAGTGCACACTACTGCACCATTTAAATCGAATGAGCGTGAGGAAGAGGGGAATTGCTACATGGAGAAAAACAATTAAACGTCAAAAAAGTATATAATCGTCTCTGGAGCCCCAGATTTTCTCATTCTCGTTCTTGCCTACTGAACTGTCACACTGGTTGTTTGCAGAATCCATGTTCAAGGCAAGTGATGTGCAAAGGTGAAGACAAAAAAAAATCAATATTAAATTGCAAATGCAAATCAATTGAATTTTTTTTGGACCGAAACAAAAAATGGATGAAAAAGATCGATCCACTCGATTTTTGTCGTGTTTGAGATCGATTCAAAAATCGATTAATCCAACCAAAAGAATCGATCTTTTCTGTTTCGATCCAAGATCGCCCATTGCTAGACTGCATACACGCTATTTCAAAACTACCCAAATTTGGGTGGAATCCACCCAGATCGGTCAAAACTGAACCTACCCAAAAATGGGTAAACATGTATTTACCTAAATCTAGGTAAACGTACCTGCGACTGAAACTGGGTTACGGTTACTCAGATATTGACATTTGATAACAGGGTAAATTTTACCCATTTTAATAGCAATTGGATGGTATGACCGCTGCAGTAGCTGTATCAAACATAACCTCACCCGACTAGCTCTCTAGCCTGTTATATATAACTACGGAATACGACATTGAAATACCCAAAAAAAAACGATACCGTTACAAATGCAAACCATTTATTGAGATTTAATTTTTAATGAGATCTTCAAATTAGGAGCACCAACAAACATTTGGCTTCGAGAAAAGCGTCACCTCGAGCGTCACAGAATATCTCGGTAACCTAGAATTAGGAGAATGTTCAAAGTCGAGAATCTTACAATATACTTACTAACTATATCTGCTAGTAGCATTCGCCATGATAACAGTTCCAGTTTTTTTGCATCAGTCTTATTTATATCTTCCTTTCATACCTGCGTCATTTTTTACCTTGGGAAAATTTCGTTTAGAATTATTTACCCAAAATCTGGGTAGATTGTACTCATTAGAACAAAACTAGTTTACCCATATTTTGACAACTCCTTACTGGACCCAAGAATGGGTGCCATCTACCCAGTCACTGGATAGATTCAGAATAGCGTGTACGTACAAAGTGCAGAAGGCTCCAAATCGTGACGAACGGCAAAATACGGTGGGAAAGTCACGGGCCCGGAAACTGTACACCCAGATGCTGACGAAACCTCATTGTCTCTTCATGGATGATAAGACTTACGTCAAAGTGGACTTCCGGTAGCTTCCGGGGCTACTGTTCTTCACCGCCCAGCACAAGTTTGATGTTCGGGAGGAAGTAAGGAAGCAGAAACTTTCAAAGTTTACCAAGAAATACATGATTTGGCAAGCGATCTGCTCATGTGGCAAACGGAGTGCGTCGTTCGTGACTAACGGGAGTGTAAACGGGGAGATCTACCTCAAGGAGTGTCTACAAAAGCGTCTGCTTCCTCTGTTGATGCAACACGAGAGTTCTACGATCTTCTGGCCGGATCAAGTTTCGTGTCACTATTCAAATGTTGTCCTGGAGTGGTACGAAGCCACCGGGTGCTACGAAGCCCCCCCAAACGCACCGGAACTAAGGCCCATCGAAAAATACTGGGCTATTATGAAGCAGGCACTACGGAAGCATCCCAAGGAGGTCAAATCTGAGGAAGACATGAAGAAAATGTGGGTTTCCGTACAGAAGAAGCTGCAGCCAGATGTTGTACAGAATCTAATGAGTGGAGTTAAGCGTAAGGTGCGAGCGTACGGTTATAGTATTGGAGTTGAATGAAATAAATATGCCAAAAGCTTTCTAATGGGTTATATTTTATTGTCTGAAAGTTTGAAAAGGATCGGTCAACTAAGTAACATTCTGCCGCGTTTTTTTCCGTGATGCAATTTGATGTGGGACATCCTTTACATGGCTAAACAAAACAACCCAACGGTTGAGTTCTTTGAACTTACTATTCAGTTCGTATCTCTCATTCGCTTGTTGTCAAAAATGAAAAGAGCAAATCAACCCAACTGAGGTCTTCCGTGCACCAAGTTAACGTGTAAATCTTAATACTGAATAGTTTGAACTTGACCTTGGCCTACATGCGAGTAAATGAAAACAATTCGAGCGTATTAACTTAAAATTAAATGTCGGAACTGGCAACCTGGGTGAGTGTGCTGAATGCGGATGCTACTTGGATTGACGAGAATACGTATAATCCCCTAGGATAAAGTAATCCGATGAATTGTTGAAAAGATTCGGATCACCCATATGAATGAACCGGTTCTGAGCGGTTCACTTAAGTGATCCTTTTTTCCCATCTCTAACTCGGACAGACTCTCCACGAGGAATTGCGATCTTTCAATATTTTCCTTATCTACCAACAATACAAGCCCCACGCTATTCAGTTCAATCTAATGAAAGTTTATGATTCATCAGGCGTCTCCATCAAAATAATAATTCCACTGTTTCAACTAGCTACAAATCTCCATAGACTCGGAAATGTATGCCCAGTGAATCAATCAAAACATTTACATATTCCCAAAATGTATTCCAGCGAACAGCTTCTGGCCAGATCCAAACGCATGGCAAACAACGGCCCTACGATTTTGACGAGATGATCCATCGGCAAACCATCCGCAAACAGCAGTATTCATCGAAGCATAATCGAACCTGAACCGGCCGACCCCGAGTTCCCCGAACGTCCCAAAATAGCAAAAGCATTACCAATCACACTTACCTAATCCTAGATCTAGCTTCTGCTGCTGATATCGGTCGGTTGGTTCCACTTGGTCCTTTCACCGTATATAATCAGAAATAAATCCACTTCTGGTTCGATGGAAAACTAAACAATAACAACTCAATCTTCTTCAACGAACGCTCGCTCGCTCGCCCGTTTTTTTTTCTTGTTTCTTGAATGCATAAATTTTTCACGAACCACCAGCACCACATCCAATTCGCATTTGCTACCGCACACTTCCGGGGAAAGCAGCTTTCCCGAAAAACCACAGAATTCCCCCCCGTCTCCGATTATGTTGTTTCAACTTCAGTTTCGACGTGGCATCCAATTGAAGATAACTGTCTTTTGAGGGAAATTTTCTTCTTTGGGTTCTTCTTTACATACACTCACGTGCTCAGGCACACACAATTTGACGAACTCGTAAAAAGTTGTGCCTTGCCCGGTTCAACTGGGACTTTCATCACACACAATTTCTATCTGTTGTTTTTCTTGGCTTTTTTATTTCGCCGGAAAGGAGAAGGGTTCTCGAACTCCCGGCTGTTAGCTCGTACAAGGTTTGGTTTTTATGTGTATTCTGTACCCCCACAAGAGCGCCTACGATGACGAGGACGGTTGTGGTGGTGGTTTGACGGAACAACTCTTGAACGTTGCTTCTGTGCTCCTAGCAGCGTTGGCCAAAGTTATGATGAGCTTGTTTCCTGCAAGAGTGTTATTTTATGAAGCACACTGTTTGGTTTCGGTTTTTCGCATTTGGCATTTTACGACTTCTTCCGGCAGTGTTCTAAATCCCTTTCGAAATCCGCCGCACTCGAAATGGTTAAGCGATTTAATCTGAATTGAATAATTTCCTGTCGATCTCCTGTGCAGCAGAAGAAGCAATTTTGGCAAAATTGATTTTGGCCTGTGTCATCGGATCCGGGCACGAACTAAGATGGGTCGCAACCATAGCACAAAACAAACTCTTCACATCATCACTCACCACTCGAGGCCAAAGCGACGACAGATGGCGCACGTCTTTTACCCCCAAAGGACCCTCTTCTCGAGCATCAGGATTGTCTTTTCCGCCTGAATCTAGCCTGGGAGCGTGTGCTTGGCTATGTGACACGCCTGTAGTTATGCTCTCATATGTACACAAACGCCGCCACTGACGACGTCGAGGACTATGTACGTCATCACGGTCGCCCCAACCCCTATCGTACGAAATCACGGCCAGCAACCACTTGCCACATCCAAGGGATCTCCCGACGACAAAAAAAAATCAACAACTTCCACATTGAGCCACAACGCCGCACAGAAAAATTCGGGAAGGAAATCAGCACACGCCCGTCCTTAATGATATAACATACATACACACTCGCACTGTTGGGTCGGGGGGGAAAAAGGCTAAAAACGCGCTACTGATGATACTTTGATTAGTCCCTACAACAAATCCCGTCCCGGCGACATTAGCGGCTTTCAGGCGTTCCCACCGATCTGAATTTAATAACACCGTCTCAAAAATCCGTCCGAAAAACTATCGTCCTTCCTGAACGTCCAGCCAGAGGCTCCCATTGGAAGGATGATGCACCGCACTCGCACAGAGGATAAGAATCGAGAAAGGAACCCGAACGTACACGACGGTTGCTGCCTGCGAACGCATCGAAAGCAACACCCTTACTGAGCTTTTGTTAGCTCGGGCAGGGCGGAAAATCATGGAATCCAGCTTCTGGCCGCCTCGATACACTCTCGGTTACATCTGGAGTGGAAATCGTCGTCGGCGTCGTCGTCGTCGTCGTCGTCGTCGTAAAAAAGCGTGTCTTATCGGTGTTGCACGCGCGTCCCATCCGATGAGAGGAGTGGAGCCGTCCGTACGCTCTCTGTTTTGTCAGCCAGTAACCGATCCTAAATAGAGCTCCAAGGGTGGTGGTGATAAGCAGTCAGTCAGTGATGTAAAGAAGAGAGGACTCGTGAGAGCACATTGCTGGATGATGCACTCTGGCGGTTCAAGGGAAAATGTTGCTTGGATTCGGATGAGAACGTGAGAGTATCATAACAACTAGTTCTACCAGCATAGATGCGAGAGGCGAAGATCAAATTGTCAGCTGTGCTAAATTGGAGACTGGGTGGCAGCCCGAGCAGAAAATATCTCATAGGAAAATTGATGCAAGTATTCATTTATTATATTGAGTGTTTTGATTATTGTTAGGGTAATTTTGAAATCACAAATTTGAAAATATCGATATGGGATGAAATTGATGAACCCCTCAAATGCCTTGCGAGTGATTTTCTAGTAAATGTTCTTATTAAATTTGGGTTCCCGGAATTCAAAGAGAGTAGGCTGTGCGTGTGATCGAACGTGACGTTTATTTTTGACGTAGGACTACGTCTTTCGGGAAGATGGGGGTACACTTTATGAAAAAGGAAAAATGAAATTATGAAAGATTTTGAACGTTAATAACTTAGCTGCCCCTGGACCAATTTCAAAAATTTAATCACCAATCGATCAGAAACATTTATACGCATCGATAACTATGATTATGATTGTTGATTTTCAAATTGAAACTATTGAAAAAGTGGTAAATTTCAAGCATTGTCCAAAAGCTTCAAATAACTAACAAATCCACCAATTACGTACATGCATATGCTGCTTCCCCAACACACTGATGACTGTGTTCTGGTTCCTAGATGAAACAAGCCGAAGTGACATTTGCTTTCGATCTTCGGGCGTGTACAAATAGGGAGGATGCAATTGCGGAACATTTTGCAATTTAGAACCACATGTCCTCAACGACCACACAAAATACTCTCCGTTTTTTGTTTTCCTTGGATTTGTTTTCCGTCGATCTTGTTGTCCGTGCTGAGCACCAATGCTACCCACACCTGGACCCTACTTATTGACCCATCAACTCATGAACCGGGGACCAACGGCTTTACTTCCCTTACTAGGCGTAATCAGAGATGTTATGCCTCAGACTGGGATTGAACCCAGGTAATTACGCTTACCTGGGTAAGAGGTAATTACACTTACCTGTACCAAACTTGGAGCAGGGGATACTCTAAACAAATTCTGTTCTAACTCTTTTCTGAAATGGCTTCTAAATTTTCAGGGCCACTAATGTTACGTTGGTGATAAGTTTTAACCTCCGAAACCGTACAGATTGCGTCCCTGTCGCTTTAGAGCGTAGACGACATCCATGGTCGTGACGGTTTTGCACTTGGCGTGTTCAGTACAGGTGACGGCATCACGAATCATAATTTCTAGAAACACCTTCAGCACACCTCGGGTTTCCTCGTAGATCAGAACGGACATACGCTTGATACCACCACGTCAAGCCAGACGACGGATGGAAGGCCCCGGATGTTATCACGCAGAATTTCCCAATATCGACAAAACTGCATCATCATGACTGTATATAGCCAATGGGAAGCGAGAAAATATGGTACCGGCAGAGCTGGTTAACTATATAACAGGTTGCTAACTACGCTATTGGTTTAGTTTCGATTCACCCGTTCAACGACAAACATCAAGCAACTGGTCGTGTCAAGGGAGGCCAAGGTCTTGGAAAAGAAGGCGCCAAGCGTCATCGGAAGGTTCTGCGCGAAAACATCCAGGGTATTACCAAGCCTCCCATCCGTCGTCTGGCTCAACATGGTGGAGTCAAACGTATTTCCGATTTGATCTACGAGGAAACCCGAGGTGTGCTGAAGGTGTTCCTAGAAATTATGATTCGTGATGCCGTCACCTACACTGAACACGCCAAGCGCAAAACCGTCACGGCCATGGTTTTCGTCTACACAACGTAACAAAACGGCCCTTTAAGGGCCACCAAGTTCATTTCAGAAAAGAGTTAGAATAGAATTTATATATAGTAACCCATGACTCACTCATTCAATGGGTCACTAAATACATCAAAATGATACAAAATCAAATAATTTGTTAGGGAAATAAATTATGTTCTATGTGTAGTCTTATCGGTGGGTTAAATTTATTCCGATTCACTTTCATAAACTGAGAAACCCTCATCGTATGCATTCTTCTGCTGCGACATCTTCGAAATCGTCCGAACCGTTAAATAATACAGAGTACAGACTTAAAGTACAGAGAGTACAAAAGGAGAGGAGCCAGTGTCGCTACTTGATAGCAAACTACTCATGATGGGAGGAGTCTGTGTACTTTACCGGCGTCTTCAAAAAGAAAAGCAATCAAAATTTCATTTTGTGATTGTCTCCCAAACACAGACATCATATTCAAAGAACATCGTGATTATGCATTGCAGCATTCGCTGTAAATTCCAACTGGCACAGTAAATGCTTCAGTGTTTACACTCCGCGTTGGATAGAGTCAATATTCGAAGCGAGACAAGTGTTGATTGAGAAATTCTGTGCAAATCTTTAAAATGTCTCAACACATGGCTGCTAAATATCTCCACAATTATCGAAAGCGCGTGAGAGACCAGGAGGCAGGGAAATCTGCGTAACAGAAAAGTTCGTCTGAAAAGAATGAAATTATTTGATACAATTATTTCTCTCTAAAATTTTATTTTTTGTCAAAACTACATATCAATTAACATACATTGTTAAGGATAAACATTTTTGTCCAAATCTCTTTCTTGTATTACAAATAAAGTATTCAATATTATTTATTTAATTTGATAAAACAGAGGACACTAGCAGCACTCATTGAAGTGGAAAATTATTCGATAAAACACCACAGCAGCTTCAATTTGCAAAATGAAAGTTCTGTCTTCCCAGCTCTTATTTGAACCACTAATCAAATATATAAATATATTTTTAAGAATAATTTGAATTCCAATTCCCGATATTCATCTGTCATCGCCTTTTCTATAAGGTGATCAAAATATCGGAAAAAGTGTGTTGTACACCAAATCACATGCATGAGGCATGTAACAAAAAGTGTGTTGATGAGTTCTTTGGCGTTAATGTTCCCGAAAAGTTCACTATTTTGCTATAAGCAAATGCAAAACAAACAAATGTCCTGTTTCATGCTACCGAAAGGTATGCTGGTCACAAATGCCGTACCAAACTGATTTCCTGCGCAAGTGATATGTATAAACGCGAATAAACACGAGGTCC